TCAGATTCGCTGCACTCTTTATTGATCTTATTTTGATTTAACTCTATAAAATACTGTTGCAAATAAGCAAAGAAAGATATCTGCTTATATGCGTTGACCGCTGTAATTTTCAAGCAACAATGTTAAATTTGCCAGCTCCAGCTGTCGACCAAGCCTGATCTATAGCCAACAGAAGTTAAAGTTTTCTAAAAGGAACGGTTGCATGGATAATGTTAAATTATTTCTCCGCTTCAATACTATATAAAACGCCCTAATTCTGAGTGGTACAGACAACGTCTTATTTTGGCAGATAACATAGAAATAACTTAACCTATTTCGGTTAATTTTACTTTGATTTATACCTTCTAGTTCAAACATTAACAAAGCTGTAGGTCCAGGAAGAGAACCATGGATGTAAAGAATTTCAATCTGAGCAATTGTAATGGTAGGTAAACGCTACGGTTAGTTTGAAGAAGGAAAACAAGAGCAAAGGAAATTAGAAGCTCGTAATAAGCTTACCAGCCATGTTCCAAGCCCTAGCACGGGCATTTCGTTGCCTGAAGACAGTTTGATTGTTGGATAACCCATCTAAAAAGTAATTTTTATGATCCAGTAAGAAGTCACTGCATATCGCGTACCTTCATGGTACGGCTGCAGACAAGCCTTTTAGACAAAGACAGTTGAGAATAAATAGGAGATAGTTCAGCTAAGCTACGAAAACAATGGTGAATTTTCAATGCAAAACCCGCTATCTTACACATGTATTGCTATAAAAGACAATTTCGCTTGCATGTCTACCCATTCAATAGAAAATAACAATTCTTGGGAGGATTTCATCAAAGTTTTTGTGGCTAAAAAAAGATGAGTGTTGATTTAGAATCGGTCGAAAACTTGCCCACTTGCAGCGTTTAGTTTGTGTCTGTGGCAAGTTATCTACTTAAAATGAACTGTATTAGTATAATCTACAGCAAAACATAAATTCTCAAATTAAAGATTTCATGGTTCTCGTGATATCCGAATAAATAATTCTTTATTTTTTACTGGAATGCATTTGACGATCGGTAGATCCTTTTTTCAATCGTCAAATGCTATATAGATGGAAGCAGCATCGACAACCGGCAAGTTTTTCTTCGATACAGTTGACAGGATGACCTATGAGAGCAGGACTTTAGGAATTTGGAAGGGAGGAAGTTGAAAACATACTGAAGTTGTTGTTTAAAGTAACAGAAAAAAGGAAACAACCTCATGCTAGTAGCCATAATATTTTATGAACCTTGATCGAATTGGTGGCTAAACATAAGGCAGATATTGTGATTGGTCCAAAAAGAAATATCAAAATCATTTATTTTGTGCTTCAAGAAAAACTGATAAAGCCGTGAACTTCTTTCTATTCTTATCATTTCTACCCTACTGATTATCAATTTTCAATATTTGACGGCTTTTTGAAAAGATATGGTATCCACATAGAAAACAGCTCTAAATGCACGAACTTGTTTTTTCAAAGCTTCTCACAAGCCACCCAACATGAGATCATTACGAGTAAAGATTAGATCAGCCAAACATCTTTTCAAGGCAATATCGATTTGCGCTTCTAAGAAGACACTAAATTAACCTGTTTTTTATGTAGTACATTAATGACAACGAGAAACTGAGCAAATTCCCAGTGTGCACGTTACCAAATATTAGGTCGTTACGTAAGTTCCATAATTTCATCTACAAACTTACTCATTCAACTTAAAGATTTTTGGCCAACTGAAGCAAAAATTCAGGAAGCCGTTTCCCTGTTTTGCAAAACTCCATCCATCGCTTTCTCAATGTTTTGGTTCCGCTTATACATTTGAGGTTAGAAATGGAATGTCGGGTAAAAAAAACAGTTGCGATACCTAATACAATCAATCTTTTGCTCAGGCCAAAATGCTAGTTACAGGTTCACTTTGCTCCGTTCATGGTAAGGATGCCATTCCAGCAGTAAAAGCAAAGAAACAAAGATTGGTTCGTTTCTTGAATTTTGACTTGTTTGTGCTTACTTTATTAGCATTTTAAATATTGCTTCTCAAATAAAGCCGAAAATTCGAAGTAAATTCTAAGAAACCTAAGTATCAAAACTGCAGTCTTCTTTCTTTCTTTCTTACTTAGCTCAGCTAGAAATCCAAGCACACTCAAAGGCTTGACAAATCAATGAGTCAAAATTCGTAGAGCAGAGAAGTGAATTCATTTCAACTTCAGAGTATATACTTAAGTCTTTCGGGCCAAAATCTCAAAAAAAAAAAAACTGCGAGAAAAAAGGGCGCATAAATAGGAGCCCATATAGCGACCTGCTATACCA